GGTGGAGGTATGCTTAATATCCGTGCTGACTTAAAGCTCAGATCAAGAGTATGTACTGCAGTCAGTGATGTTTATGTTGGACAAACATATTTATGAACTTCTGAAGCAGGATTCAGAGTGATGGAGATGAAGTTTCCAGGCAGAGAAGAAAAGATTCAGAACAGATCAATGGACCAAGGACAGGAGAACATGAAGACAGACAACAGGAAGCAGACGGCAGTGTCAGATGGACGCAGATGTTTTTTGCTGTGATGCATAAAAAGATCTTTTTGTTCCTTCTCTTGCTCTGGAGTTTATTCCAGACACAGTCGCTGTTCATGTGCTTTGATTGTTATTATTCACATTCATCTCCTTCTGGGCTCGATTTACATTCAAATTTTATTTAGAGCTTTGTGGATTTAGATCATTTGTATTCTTTTGTTCCTGTGTATTGTAGTTCATTCCAGTACAGCCTGAATTCTAAGGCCTTATTTGTCCTGGTGATGTGACTGACTGTCTGTTTCTGCTCCTCCTGTGGTTTTATTTTGTTTTTTTTTTGGCCACAGTCTCTGGAGTTCCAGTCTCCTTCTGTCTCTCATTGTCTGCCGTGTGTGTTCTGTAGGTGTCTCCTGCCGTCGGCCGCTGTCGTCTCCTCCGCTGTCATCAATCTTCGCTCCTTTGTTTTTACACTTCATCTGTTTGTCACACACACAGGCGCAGGCTCGCACACATCCTTCTGTTGGCCAGCGAAAGTTGTTCCAGTCGAGTTTAAATACAGTAGGAAATATTTTCAACCATGCAGGAAATGTCTGAGCTGCTAGACTCATTCACTCCTCCAACACACATGCACTCATGCACGATAAAAAAATTAAATGCAGAATAAAAAAACAGAGTTAACGGTGGGTGTGTATTTCATTTCATTTATTCTAGCACCAGAAACCGGAGCAGGAGCCAGGCTGCAGATGGGAAGAGGGAAGAGGAAGGTGTCCGTCAGCAGGAGGAGCAGCTCCAGGAGCAGCAGGAGGCCAGAGCCGATGTTAGGCAAACACTGGCACTGCAAAAAACACAACGCGGGGTCTGTTCTGTCCTCACAATGGAAAAGGATTAGGACCACACTGGGTGTTTACCCCAGTAAGACTTTGGCTGGTTTTCAATTAGAATATGAAGATAATAGCTCTCATAAAACACTGAACAACGAGGCCTGGTGTTGATGGACATGGCTTCCATGCTTAGCGCCTCCCAGGGGTAGACTGTTGCAGCGGCTCGGCTCTCAACACAAGAATGTCCCCAGAGTGGCATCAACAAGTTTCCTGAGAGAGTTTGGAGATAAAGTCAGAGAGGTAAGGTGAGGTGGGGATGGTTAGGACATGGGCCGAGGAGAAATGCTGGATTCGTCAGAAACAAGATGTTAAAGTTGGGGCTGCCAGGAAAAGGGGAATCGAGGAAGATCACAGAGGATATTTATGGATGGATCGAAGGAGGACAAGAAGATCTCAGAGGAGATTTATGGATGGATGGATCGAAGGAGGACAAGGGGATGGTTGGTGTAACTGTAGAGGAGGCAGGAAGTAAGGTGAGAGAGAAGTAGATGATCTGCTGAAGGAGGAGAACCTTCTCTGAGAAGAATAAATAGTTTTAGGAAAAGAAGAAGAAAAAGAAGAAAGGTAAGCTACGATGAACCAAACCAAAGAAACCAAAAATATAATTTGCTAATGCCCTTGAACGTAAAGTCACAGACACTCAGTTCGTTGGGTATAAACTGTTTTATAAACTAAAATGTGCAGCACCGTCTGACAGCGGTGGGGACAGAGGTAAGTTGACCAGGATTGCTAGCTTTTGCAACGTTTGCTAATAACAGTCTGCGTGGAGTTTTTCATCTTTGGCATGTTGTGCAGTCCGACCCTGTTTCTTCCTAACAACAAGCTCCACCGTAGACTCATCTGACCACAGACCACAGAAGTCTTTCCATAGATTTTTGGTCCGACTCAGATGAGCTTAGGACGAAAGAATCGACTTTATATTTCACAAAATGATGTAAGAGTTTCTTCTAATGCATTACACAGTCTTAACAACAATGATTTCCTAAAAAAAAAAAAAAAATCAAGTACTTCAAGTACTGAAAAGCACTACAGCCTGAAACCTGCAGAGTCATGCACATTCAACACCAGTTTCTGCCCTTGATCAAGTCGAGAGATGTGGAACACTCTTGATGGTATTTTCATTATTTTTTTATAAACTGTAGTTGCAGGACCTTTTTACAACGTCACGTCCTTTACAGCTTTTTGATTTATATAAAAAAAAAAAACGTTATATCCTGCGCAGCTCAGCACTTTTATTCTCTGCTCACATATGTAACTCATCTCATCACCGTGAACCTCTCTCCACGGGTCATGTCCTGGCTTCATTTCTGTGCTACGTGGTGTGTCTGTCACAGCAACCAGAATCAGATTGGTGAAGGGAACATGGGGAAGTTATTATGATGATGGGATTTTAACTGGAAATGTTGGTTGTTAAATGACAAACAACACTATTACTGTAGGTTAATGCAACTATCAAAGTAAATGCAAGTAGTTAACCTAAACAGTATACTGAAATATGTTTCAGTTTCAGATCACAAACAGATGTTTCTGGACTCACACTGTTCAGCTGCAGGACTCCAGCTCTGTGCACAAACTTGTTTGGCGCCTTTTAATTTATGGGGAAAATTTAGTTTATGTACTACACAGTATACACAGTAGATTTAGCTACTACTCATGTACGTTACTCACTTCAACACTGTGGACAGCTCTGCCTATAGATCAACTTTTGGCTCTGATTTTCTCCCACTGGACGTCTAAAATTCAGATCCAAAAAAAAAAGGGATTTTAGCTTTGGGTATAAATAGAAAATGTACCTAAGGATGTTTAATGACGAAAGAAGAAAAACGGAGGCTGAACCAAAAAAAAAAAATGGTTTGGATTTTAGTTTGGGTATAAATAGAATTTGTCCTGAACCTTAGATATAAAGAGACAGATCAAATCCAAAAAACAAAAAAACTATAAATAAACTATAGATCCTGCACAGAAACACAGACGCGTTGTTCTCTGACTGGTGCCACCACCTGGTTACTGAGCAACACTGCATGTCTTGCTCAGCAACCCCCACAGCTTAGCATCTGGAAAATTAAATGACACATCAAATTCATGCAAATGCACTTTTAGAACTCCCTAATTCAACTAAAGGCCAGAGTCCAACGTCTTTAACTGAGTCATCCAACACAGACGGTAGTTCCACAGTAAAGACATCTGGGTTTTACATCCCGGAATAAAACCATCTGACCAAGATAAACAACATGGTCTTGAAAAAAAAAAAATTGAGATCGTATATTGAAATGATTAAATGGTTGGGATGAATAAACAACAACATAGAGATTGTTTAATGTGTTTTGGGAAATGTTTATCATGGGACTTGGCTAATGTGCATAGTTTTATTGACAGCTGTAAAGCCGTACTGCAATACAGGGAGGACCTGGATATTTGAAATGTCAGAACCTTCTCTGAGCAGAATAAATAAAGTTCTGAAAGAAATGGAAACCGCAGCGCTCACTGTTCAAACGTGCAGGTTGCTGCACAGCAGTGGTGGCTTCGTTTGGGAAGAATTTGGTCCAAGAAACCTTAGCCACGGCGTTGGGTTTGAACGTACAGTAGGTCTGGCAAGGTTAAAAAATAGAAAAAACAAATGTTCCTTAAATCTAGTGTTTATTTTTCCAGACATCCTGCAGTGTTTATCTCTCTAAAGTTTTACAGTGTACTCACATCAGTGCTACCAGCCCGTATGAGCTGCTCAAGTTGCACACGATTGATCTGATCATAAAAACATGTGGTACAAACAGTCAGCATCGTCTCCCATCTGACGGAGATCTAGTCTGGGTGGAGACTCACTGGTACACCAGGCTGAAATGTGAACTTTACTGCTACAAAAAGGTTGACTTTCCATCAACCTCCACACAGTCACACTGAAGTGAGAGCACAAAACACTGGAGATATAGAAATATATAGTTTTATATATATACTTTTTCTGAATGTATTTACTTTTTATAACACTTTTCATGAAGACGTATGTCTGTTTTGTGTCTACATACATGTTATTAACGTTTAGTTACATCGTTGTCGTAAAATGAGTGAGGCTGCAATGTAGCTGTACAAGTACTGTATATAAATTTACAAAAAACGATGTTCCCTGACCGGGAATCGAACCCGGGCCGCGGCGGTGAGAGCGCCGAATCCTAACCACTAGACCACCAGGGAAGTATACAGATAGGTGTTGCTTAACCGTAGATAAAGAAAGAAATAGGCAATACGTATGCTCAAAATCCCATGTCGTTTTATGCCGCACATTAATTCATTTCCACCAAACGGTTCATATTTATATAGTATTTATGCCGCACATTAATTCATTTCCACTAAACGGTTCATATTTATATAGTTCCTTCCTACTTTCATTTTGTTTAATTTCACTACGTGCAATACCACTGTGGGGCAGTAGGTCTTTGGTTTTTTCAGGCCCTAAAACGAAAAAATATATAACTTTACAAATACCCACAGAAACTAATTTAATTGCCATTAAAAACAATATAAGAGGACTCACCGGGTTGAGGGTCTTTTGTTTGACGTGTCCCTTTTACTGTGTTCACGAAATGTTGCTTTAAAAACGTTTAGAAACAAACGATTTCTTCTGTCAACTTCAGAGTCGTATTTTCACAATTTACTCAAATGTATAATTTCTATTAGGATGAATTAATGTCATTGCATTTTAACTTTTCCCGCTTTTTTCAATTCTGTAGTTCACGTTAAGTTTGGTTAATTTATATTATGTTAAAACAAATAGTGCAGCACTTCCGGCGTACCTGGACAGGAAGTGATGCTTGGTCAGACAGTGTTTTGATTGGCCAAGAAGCAAATATCGCCACCTGTTGACCAGGACCGTTTTGACAGACCGTTTTTTTCTTCTTCTTTCAGCATTTCATGTGAAGACTTGAGTTCTTCAGTTGGATTTTTTTTTATTTATTATTTTTGTTTTATTTTCAGCATCATTCATCAAAACTTAAAAACACAGTGTGCTTTTTTTATAACGAGGTGACGTGAGACGGGCTCCACTTTATCAGCAAAGAAAACAAACAAGAATAAAGTAGTCAAACAACACAGGCATTAAAATCATACTCACTACGATGAATTAAAAAGGAACTCAGGACACGAACTGAAATAAATATAACTAGAAACTCTCCAAAATCGAACCTTAAAATATTGCAAAAAAAAAGTAGAAATACGTGGAGGTTCCCTTAAAGAGAACATGCTGGGCCTGAGTCCAGCTCATTATTTACAGCTTGCAATCCACATAAAAACTGGCCTAACAAATGCCCACAATTTATAGGGAGGGCAACAGAGTGCAACCAGGTTTGACCCCTAGTGGACAAGGCCAGTCTATCGGATGGAAATCCAGAAGGCTAGAAAAGAAAAAAAAAACTTTGGTTGAGGTTTGGATCAGATGAAGCTCACAGTCTGAAAACCAGATGTCGGCCAATCAAAGTCTTTCATTTGATTCTGTTTTGGGGCCTTTTTTTTTTTTTTAAGGATGTGGAAAAGTTTGTATCTTCTTCGCAGCAGCTTCACAGATTTTTTCATCACCTGAAACTCATCACACAACTTAACATGTTTAAATATAATGTGATTATAATTTATAATTTAAACCATCAGAATTCTACTCTCTCTCAGAAATAAAAAAGATTTTCAAATATTTAAATGAACTAATTCAACCATATACACAAGGACACGCCCAGTGCTGTATGTGCAACATGTACAGCAACGAAAGAATCAATTTAAATAAATAATCCAAATAATCCTAGCACTATTACAGTGAGACACAACAAACAAAATGAAACTTTAAACATTAAAACGCAGCCTTGTGTTTCTTCGGGTGAATAAAGGCACTTAGAGAAGAGAAACAAGGAAGAATATCGTGATGTTTGTTCCTGAGTTCACAGACAAGTGGAACTGAATAAAATATGAATAATACTAAAAACAAAACTGTCAACTTCTTCTGTCCCACAGCAGTAGTAGAAGACGTTTGTATTTGTCCTCTGTCCTCATTGAAGGACACATTTTTCTTTGTTGCTGTATTTTCTTCTCCTCATCTCCAGTCCACGCTCCAGACGCTCGTCCTCCTCCAGCGCTCTGCACAAAAACCAAACAGGAATGGACAGTATGACATCATCATGTGAAGGAAGGGGAGAAAAAAACCAAAGCACACTTCAACTTTTTTCTTAAAGAACTCAAGGAAGAGAAACGCTCTGTGTAAAAATCAGCGTTAACATCTAATAGTTCACAAAAGCTTTCTTCAGAATAAATTCGGTCTCTTTCTGCCACATGTACACACTTTTCCACGCGGTTCTCCTCCAGCATGAACTCACCCTCTCTCTTTGGCATCAATGTCTCTAATGATCTCATCCCGCTGGTTGACCAGAGACACCAGCTCCTGGAGGAGCAGCTGCTCCCTCTGCTGATGATTACAGGACTTCTGCCAGTCTGCAGATAACAGCAACATTATTGAAATGACCTCCTTACTCTCTGGTATCTGTGTATCTGATTTTACCAAAGTGAAATCATTTTTGGTTCCTCACCCTCTATGGCCATCAGGACTCGCAGCTCTCTGGTGAGGAGCTCGAACCTCCTCTCCAGGTCCTGCTCCTCTTGCCTGAGAAGGAGTCAGTAATAAAGGTTTGAAATAATTCATTTGTCACATACAGAGTGGATACTGTTGGAGGGTGTCAGAGGGTCTTACAGCAGCTCCAGGTTGTCCTGCCTGCGGATGAGAGCGTTCTTCTTATTCACCAGAGTGAACCACTCCTGAATCAGTCTCTCCTCTTCATCACGGTCACTTCCTGTATGAAAAAACAAAACAAAACAATAAACAATTAAAGAGAAAATCGCACTGTCACCATAAAAAACAATTAACAATTAACAACAACAAAAGCCCACTGTCACCATCAGAAGCAGCTACAGCTAATTAGCACTCAATTAATAATTTAAATTCATATTTAAAAACAAAATGATTCCACACTGGAGGTGTTCTTGTAATAACAGCAGATCTGCTGCACCAGGCTGCCCCCTGGAGGCTTGCAAGGCAGGTGTGCTCACACATTGAGTAATTTATTTTCATTCAGATTTTATTCTACATATCATGTTCTGATGTGATTATATCCGCCTCAAAGTCAAATTTATTGTACTTCAAATCTGTAATCTGCCACCAGTAAAACCAGCGTCCAGTCGATCTGCCCCAGGTCTTATAATGATTTGAGACCAGGGGCCGGACGGTAACTCACCTGTTTCCATGAGGCTCCGCAGCCGCCGCTCCACCACAGCAGCCCTGCTGTCAATGTGCTTCTGCTCCGTCTCCAGTGCTGCCAGTTCACTAAGCACATACTGACTGGTGTCCTGCAGACGCTGACCACAGCCACCGTCACACACACACACGGACACAAACATGGACACACAGGCGGATGAACATTCACAATAACAGACAACAAGAAATGGAAAATGGGAAGAAGAAACAGAAACAGAAACAGGAAAAACAGAGACAGAAAAAAAGGTCATAGAGTTAGAGACAGGCCAAAAGATAAAGAGTTTTTTAATGAGTAGAAAAGTAGAAAACAGTTCAGATTTGAGAATAAATGATGAAGAAAAAAAGAAATGAGGATAAAAAAAAAAGACATTTCAGAACTGACCATTGTCTCTGCCTCTTGTTTCGGAGTCTCTGCCTCTGTGTCTCTCTGCAGACCTGCACAAACAAGGTCCAGTGTTAAAGATGGTGGTGCGTACTTTATTCTATTCTATTCTTCTGAGTATAAACAAACAGAGCTTTATTTCTTATTTCTTATTTCATTCCAACACCGGTGGTAAAAGTATAAACAAACAGAGCTTTATTTCTGACATTTCATTCACCTGAGGTATCAGTCTTCTCTGCTGTAGATATCCTCCTCGTCGTCGTGTCTTCATCCTGTGGAGTTGAACAGTGACACGTTAACACACCTGCACTCAAGACTGAGATTTAAAATAAAAAGCAGACATGGACGATTTAACGTGCAGTTAGAGTTTTAAAATAAAAAGAGGATTTAAATCACCTCAGATTTGACCGTCTTGGCGACAGATCGTGGCGGTGCGACGGGGTTTATAGAGTCTTCAGCTGCGAAACAGATAAAAAGATGAATTTGAATCATCGCTGATCAACACAGACGTCCACCGCGTCTCTGACGGCGACTCCACGAACTCCCGCCAGGATGTAAAACTTTAAGACAGGAGGATGAAGCGCAAAAAAATGAACTTAAAGGTGTCTCGCTGATAAACTACCGGACAGATTACTCTTATTTATACACTGTTTAAACCGACTGCACGTGTCACGACACTGGGAGACATTCTTGTCACGCTTGTTAACCACGGGTTCCGTTTTCTTCATTTACACTTGCACTGAGCCCAGCACGAGTGGTCGGACTGGGAAACTTTACGAAGCCAGAAGAAATATTTGCTTCAGTTCAGTGAACTTTGCACCAACTTCTTCTATTAACGCTCCACTTTATTTTTGCTGATCTGACTGAATTCTTTTGTGTTTTCTCTGTAATTATTAAGTCTTTTAGTAGTTCCCTGGGAAAAGTCTGAGGTTTTTTTTTTTGTTTTTTTTTTTAATGAGACCTAATCAATATCATGTGCTCCCTGTTTCCGCACACACTCACACCAACATGTGTGTGTGTGTGTGTGGTCTCAGCACAGCTGACACGTAACCATATAAGGCAGTGTAAGACATTGCTCTCTCCTGTCCCGCCTCTGATTGGTTAAGTTGAACCGATCAGAAACACAGTGAGGAAATGATGCCTTTGTTGTCCTAGGAAAAATAATTGTACTTTGAAGCTAAGTGGCTAATTTGCAACACTACAAGCCAATGAAACGACAAGCTAGCACAGTCAACGCTCAGTGTTGACGACCTCGATGTCTAAAGACAGAAACGTTCACAGACAGTGTGTCAGAATTCCAGACCAAACTTCCAGGCTCCTCGCCAGGAATCTGGCACCAAACATTATACTAAGATAAAAAGTTCATTCGTTTTGTTTGGATATTCCAACCAGTCACAGCTGAAGTGATTGTTAGTTTTGTGCGGTCAAAGCCTCCCGGGGGTCTCAGCTGTTGGGGCAGATGATGACTGATGAGTTCATCTCAAACTATTTTCTGAATTCTTCAGAACTCGTGTCTGGTTCGAATAATGCAGGAGAATCATCACGTTTATTTATGTTAAACATCATGATTAATCGTGTTGCCACAGTCACCTGGTGATTAATCAGATTGAACATTTGAATCATCTGACCAACTCGTTGCACGAAAAGACTTCACCAAAGACAAAGAGTCGTAGAGTCTAGATGGGATTCAGTGAGGACAGAATCGTACCTTTGACCACTCGTTTGCTTCTGGGCGGTGGCACCACCAGAGGGCTGTCTCCTCCTCTCTCCTCCAGACTCACGCCTTCGTTCAGCCTGGCCATGCAGAAGGCGGCAGCGTCGACGTTGCTGGGATCGGGACCCGAGGGAGCGAGGCCGTAGCTGGACTGGCTGCTGTTGTGTTCTATCTGCAGCACGCTCAGCTCCTGGTTGGTGAAGTGCGAGCGGATCTGACTGAGGTAGGTCATGACTATCAGCCTGTCAGGGATGGACATGAAGACCATGTCGGAGGGCTCCAACAGACGAGAGATTCCCAAGGCCTCGAAACCATCGAACGCCTGTGGAGTTCAGAGAGACGATGTTCAGAACTCGTTAGAATCGTTTTTGGAACCCGTTAATCGAGGACAATGAGCCCTTCTGGAGACAGTGCTCGATTATTGTCGACATTTTCGGGGGTTTTTTTCCAGGACGCTTCAAATCTGGAGCTCGTTAGAGGTTTTGCAATTTTCAGAAATAAACATGACTACTGTGTTTTTCCTCTCATTTTGGCTGCTCCTTAAAGTGGTCACGACAGCAATTCATCTCAATTTGGAAGTATTTTTGCTTTCATCCAGGATCGCCACCACTGTCACCGCGTTCCATGCATGTCCTCAAGGCTCTCACTCCTGCTGCTCCTTTTTTTTGTCTCTAACTCCTCTGTTCTGCTCATTTCTCGTTACTGTCAATTAAAACCTCAGCGTCTCTGCCTCCTGACTTCGAGGCCTTTATGGGTGAAATATTTTGTCAAAAGACTGATGGGAATTGATAAAAAATGACTGGTTCTGAAAGCTGGTTCCATAATGTAGTGGTTATCATGCCTGCCTTACAGGATGAAGGTCCTAGGTTTGAGCCCCAAAGGAACCACATATATCTATTTATCCCGTTCTCGTTTCTTCAACTCTCACTTAGAACCCACTGAGGGCTGAATGTTGTACAAAGACGTTTGTCTTCTTCATCTTTACCTTTTTGTTGTTCAGCTTGATTTCATGAGGGTCCAACTCGTCAAAATGTCTAAAGGCACAAAAAAACAAAGTCGACCGTTAGGAAGAGCTCACTTCACACCTTCAACACTGAACTCACAACCTCAACAATGCATTTACATTTTATCTGGGTGGAAGTGGTGGAGGATGGCACAGAAGGCCAGGCCGTTCCTCCAGGACGTGCTGAAGTTGGTGACCTTTACCCCCCTGTACTGAGCGGTGATGTTCTGACACCACTGGAGCAGAGACTGACTGGAGTTCACCAGGTCCTGAGGAGCAGAGTCACGTTAGTGTTAGTCTGTGTGTGTGTGTGTGTGTGTGTGTGAGGGTGACTGGGGTCAAGTCCTGTGAACGCCAACCTCGGCGGCGGCGTCTTTCCCATCAGCCTCCTCTCTGACTGATGGAACAGGATCCGCTCTCTTAACTCCAGGGCTTTCTTCTTCTACTAAAGTCGGGAGCCGGGTGGTCTTCACCTCACTGGGATGATGAGGAGGGGCGGTGTCCACGACAGGCCTCGACAGGCGGTCAGACGGTCTGTGTTTCACCCTGACGAGAAAAGAAAAAAAAGGAAAATGTGCAACAAATGAAAGTGAAGTGAGTGACGATGATGTTGGAAGAAGACGCTTCCAACATCACTGATGATGGTTTACACCGTCACACATTATTTAAAATGATTCTTTTTTTAAATTATCTAGAATGTATTTAAAATAAAATAAAGGAAATAGATGAAACCAATTCAAGAGAGCAGAGTTGTTATTTAAACTTCTGACTGAGTTTTAAAAAGATGTGTTTTAGTTGTTAGATTGTTAGATTTTTTTAGTCTACTTCTATTATTTCTACTTCTTCAATAGAACATAATGACAGCTGTATGAATCACGATCCTGTTTAGAGGAAAACAGATGACAAATAACGAGGCGTTACTGCACAAACAAATGTAAGCCATGTAAAACTGGAAAGGTTTCAGACCAGAATTCCAAAACTAAAATAATCCAAACTCCTGAAGATTCCACCTGTGGTCAGTACCAAGGTCTCGCTCCGTTTCTTATATACGGTCAGTGCTCACGCCTCATGCCGACTTACACGTCCTCTGTTCCCAGCGTTCCTCCAGACTCTGTTAGTGAAATTTCCTGCAGGCGATCCAGGCTGGGAATCTCCGGAACATTCTCTACGACGTCGCCGTCAATGTCACCAGGAGCAGGAACCAGGCGCTTCATACTGCGAGGGCTGATGACGGGAGACGTGTCACCGGTCATGTGACGGATTTTGGCCAACAGGAACTCCTCCTCTTCTTGAAGCTTCTTCAGATTGTTGTCCTCGCGGGGTTGTCTGTCCTCGGTGTCGTCTTCTTTTTCAAGTTCCTTGCGTTCAGTGTGGATTTTGCTCGATTTCAATTCAGAGTGGGTAGTAAAAGTGCTCTGAGTGACAGGAAGTGGCCAGTGCACCACGGATGTTTGAAAATGTTCTTCATCCTGATTGGCTGTTGAACCCCGGTGGCGACCGGCTTCTGTGTCACCACCGTCTCTCTGCGCTGCTATTGGCTGTTTGTTCACGGCTGTAGGCTGGGGGTGGAGTTTGGCGACTGGAGGCTGCTGTGTCGGTGCAGGTGGAGGTCTCTGAGGTCTGAAGACAGAAAAGGAGGATTTCAGATGTTCTTCAGGAAAATGAGCAGCGTTTGTGCCATGCTTCACTCCATCAACATGCTGCTGACATGACGTGAACTGTCAACAAACTGTCAACAAACTGTCAACAAACTCTGGAAAAAAGTTTATATTTTCAACAAACTGTCAACAAACTCTGGAAAAGTTGAATTTGTTCAATTATCCCAGAGGTGAGGAGACTTCATGCTGTCAAGATGTTTTGGAAACAAATCCAAAAGAACTCCAGGACAAAAGAAACTGTCTGTGGAGTCGACGACCGACCAATCAACTAAACAAACAAACAAACAAACAAGCGACCAACTGACCAAAGCCAAAAACAACTTTTTTCTGCATGCTGCCGCCTCCGCTGACCTTCACTGACCTTTACTGACCTTCACTGACCTCCACATGTTTGAAAAACTCATGCATTCAAGACAAAAACTGTGCAAACAACTTTTGAAAAGGATTTGCTGAGTTAAATTATTTTATCTATTTATATTTATTTAAATCTCCAAACAACAAACACTGTTTGACTCCTGGAGTGATTTCCTTCCTTTACTCTCTCTTTTCTCTCTCTCTCAATGCTGTTAGTGAAACCTCACGTGCCCTTTACTCACCCCGTCTCCCCCTCCATGTACAGCTCAGCCAGCCAGATGGAGCCCAAGTCCTCCTGTCCCTTCTCATACTCCACCTCCTCCTCCTCTTCCTCCTCCTCCTCCTCCTCCTCCTCCTCCCTCAACCACTCTGGGATGGCACCAGGTTTGAGGCAGGACTTAGTCTTTCTACCTGAGCTCAGACTCCGAGGTTTATTCTGGTGGTTGGTGTGAACTGGTTTCACTGATTTAGAATCCCACTCCTCTTCGTTTGCGTGCAGCCTCTCGTCGTAGGCGATGTCATCCAGTTCTGCTTCTCTGAGTGGAGGCCACTCCGCTGATTGGACGTTCACAACTTCCTGGTTGCTCACTTCCTCTCCTTCTTCTCTCGCCCTCTGCCTTTCCCTTCCTCTCTCCTCTTCCTTCTTCTTCAACTTTTCCTTCTCTTCTTCTTTCTGCCTCTTCTCTGTTGCCTCTCTCTCTCGTCCTCCTCCCTCCTGCTCCCTCTGCTCCCTCTCAAACTTCTCCTTCTCTCTCCTCTCGGCCTCTTCCCTTTCCATCCTTTCCTTCTTCACCCTCTCCATCTCTGCTCTCTCCTTCCTTTCCTGTTCCTTCTTCTCCTTTTCCTCTCTCTCCTTCCTCTCCTGCTCCTTCCTCTCCTTCTCTCTCCTCTCTGCTTCCTCCCTCTCCCTCCTCTGCTGCTCCCTCTCCTCCTCCTGCTCGCTGGCTGCCAGACGCAGACTTGCCACAAAACTCAGACCAGGTGGCTCCACTGAAGCCAAACTCTCAGGTTTCTGAGCCGACGCCACGTCGTAAACCTTTTCTCCGACGACGGCCTGACCTTCTCTAGCGTCAGAGAACGCCGTCGGCGGCGAAACATCAGCAGCGATCAGCGCGTCCTCGTCGGCCTCGGAGAAAACCACGGCCTCCGCATCTGCTTTACGTGAACGCAGCTGATCGTCGTTAGGCCGCGGCTGTTGATGCCGATCTTCTCTCTCAGTGGATTCACTGGTGTGCAGGAGGGAGGTCACTGACTCATAGCTGAGGGGACACACATGGGGAACAGACGGGGGAGGGGGGGAAGGGGGTAAAAAAACCTCTGAGACAGAGCCGACCCTGAAGTGACCAGACTGTGGACAGACGGACAAACAGCCAGACATGCTTGAATAAAAGCAGCTCCTTCTCAGACTTTGTTTTGGTGCCGGTCCAGA